ATCTCTGTTGGTATTCTTGCAAAAATTCAACAAAGGAAGAACAAGAAGGCAGTAATCAACATCAGCCGAACAAGAGCAGAGAAAGTTACAGCACAAGCTGTTTACACAGAAGCAAACAGTGAAGTGAAGAAGAGCATCAAAGCTGACAAACGAAAATATGTGGAAGATCTAGCAATGACGGCGGAAAGGGCTTCAAGAGACGGAAACTTGAGACAATTGTACGAAACAACAAAGAAGCTCACCGGAAACTATCGTAAGTTTGAACGACCAGAGAAAATCAAGGAAGGCAAAATAATCAGCAACACTGAAGAACAGCGAAATAGGTTGGTAGAGCACTTTCAGGAACTCTTGAATCTACCAGCTCCACTGAACACACACAACATCGGAGCAGCATCCACGGACCTCCCAACCGATGTTTGCCAACCAACAATTCAACAGATCAGTCCTCGCATTCGATAGCGAGGACATGATGACACTATGGAGTGTTCTTCGACGCTGCGGTGTGCCTAAGAAGATGGTTAACATCATACGGAATTCTTATGATGGATTCAACTGCAAAATCGTGCACGGAGGTTAGCTGACAGACTCGTTTGAGGTGAAGACCGGTGTCAGGCAAGGTTGCTTGCTCTCACCCTTTCTTTTTCTCCTGGTCATCAATCGACTGGATTATGAAGACGTCGACATCTGGAGGGAAGCAAGGTATTCAGTGGATAGCTAGGATGCAGCTGGACGACCTGAACTTCGCAGATGACCTGGCTCCTCTATTGCAAACGCAACAACAAATGCAAGATAAGACGACGAGTGTAGCAGAAGCCTCTGCAGCAGTAGGTCTCAACATACATAAAGGAAAAAGCAAAATTCTCCGATGCAACACAACATGCACCAAACAAAATCACTCTTGATGGAGATGCCTTGGAGGACGTTAACATCTTTACGTATCTGGGCAGCATCATCGGCAACCAAGGTGGATCCGATGCAAATGTGAGAGCGTGGATCGGCAAAGCAAGGGCTGCATTTCTACAGTTGAAAAATATTTGGAACTCCAAACAACTTCCAACCAAAACCAACATGAGGATTTTCAATACAAATGTGAAGACAGTTCTACTGTATAGAGCGGAAACTTGATTCATGAGTGCCCAGGCGGGAGTTACTGCTCGTGTGTGTACTCTTTGGATGTCCAATTTGTCTGCAGTCCAACCAAGACAACATGTATGTTCCCGTAAGAGGCAGGGGTGATTACTGTTGGCTACAGTGAGAAGCCTTGCGCTGTATATCAACGCAGCGATGTGCATGTGCAGCAGGCATGTTGGTTGACCATGAAATAGCCAAATGCCTCGTCATCTAATTGAAGGGATATACTTAGGTGACGCGCATAAATGGAGCCTTCTGTAGTTGTGGTGGCGACTACCTCTTCATGGTCCCGTCAGGCAACGTGGTGGTAGCCGCAACATCGCTGCGGCTAAAAGTCGTTCCGATCGCTGGGGATTCCGTGCTTTCCATGGTCCGGATAACTGGCACGCACATGGTCGCAAGGCTGTGGATGCGTCTGACCAGTCTGGGGGATTAGGACTGAACGACTGTAGGTCCGAATCCCGTCCTTAAGCGTAGGTAAATTCCCGAAAGGGATGTAGTAGGATGATAGTGGACGGCCCTGGACCCTATGTTCGGGGAAGCAGCCGCAGACATCCTGTACTACTGACGCCGACCCTATGTGGTTGTCCCTTACATGCTTCACCCGATGTTGTGTGTGAACTGGCGTCGAGGCCACTTAAACAAGGGTCTCTAGTTGGGTTCCGGTGCTTTAGTGCTGAAAAGGGTACTAAACACCAATGATGTCTGCCCACTTCTGTGGGATGAATCCTGCTTGGCTGAGCGCTTGCGTTTGGTCGAGTCCATGCTATCTTCCTCATGGAAAGGTGTACGTTCTAGCTGACCTTGTGGGACAAACTCGATCTTTGGCTTTATGTGGGGTAAAGGGGGCCTCGATCGATTGTATCAACTCAAGGCAGTTGGAGGCCAGACGGTTGGAATGGCTGTTGGCTAGTGCACTGCTTGGGTGGCTCGGTAAACCGCTTCGGGGTGCCAGGTCCAGCTGGGTAAGCCCTCCTTACCGCCCTTGCCGATTGGGGATTGTGGGTAGTGGTTTGGTAGGAGGGATCCGTTAATTCATAAGAGCCCGGGCGGGGGTCACTGCTCGTGTGCGCACTTTTTGGATGTCCAACTTGTCTGCAGACCAATCTGGATAAACATGTATGTTCCCGCAAGGGGCAGGGAAGACTACTGTCTTAGTACAGTGATAAATCTCTGCGTTGCCGTAAAAAGCAGCGATGTGCATGTGCAGCAGGCCTGTTGGTTGACCAAGATTTTAATTATTGTTTTCTAGTTAACTGCTCTTTTTCAGAGCAATTAGAACATCCTGTCCCTTTTATTTCGGTAGGATACTGTTTCTTGATTGATAGGAATATTTTTCGCACTGTTATGACTGATTTTATCAAGTTATTTTACCATTTGTCAAGAGTTTCGCTCAATTACAATTTATATTTGTACTTATATTTTGTTCTCACATTATCTTTCCTGTATATAACCTACATCATTCTGAACTTTTGCTGCGTTTTCGATTGGATGTTACTGGCTATTTTCGTTTTCTGAATCATTGGACTTGGGTGAACGTCACTGGACTTACTCTGAAAAGATACAAATCGCAGATTTAATAATAGTGTTTAATCAGTATCGACAGTATCTTTTCCAAAATGTGTAACAAAAATGATTATCTTGTTCCTTGGAGACTAAAACTTCGAGCCAATTCTTTCGAGAATATATCTCACTATTTTATGAACATTATTCTGAACCAGATTTACATTTGAGTGAATAGTGGATCAGTTGCGTTGTTGACCATTGCATTAATTAAGCATAAGATTTGAGATTTTGGTATAATCTATCACTGAGAGTAATTTAAACAACCTCGTTGCACCATACAGAAGAACATAATAGTTTATCATTATCGAACAACCTTGGTTTTTTGGATAGTTTTCTGAGCTTTGAGTAAAATTTCACTCTTCATTTTTATTACACTGAGTGCCTCTGTGAACGGTCGAAATTTCGTGTTTGAAGAGCCTCAGGTCGAATAGTTGTACGTAACGTGATATAATTTAGTGCTTTTCAGAAAATAACTTGATATTAGTAGATATAACGACGTGCAGTACTAGAGACCCTAGATTCATATTGACAATATTTTTCAAATGAAGAAAGAAGTTTATCTAATACTGTTTGTTAAGATTCTAATTCCAAGGATGTTTTGGTCGACATCACTGAACATTTTAGACAGTTTTTACTGAATCAATCCGAGACATCATATTTGTTCGTACCATGCACTTAAAATGAAACCTGTCGAAACATTACATGGCTAGTATCAACCAATTTATTTCCTTGCGCTCGATTCTTTTTATTCCGGTACGGCGTCAGGTGTTTGGCAGTAACTTGATAAGTATTAGTTGGTGGTACTGAAATGTACATTCGGTTGGAAGTGAAAGCCTTAGAGAATAGACATCCCTAAAAATTGTTAACACTGTAAACTAAGGATGTCAAATTCCTTTAGCTACCGATGTATATTACATTAGTCACCTGGAACTGATAGGTATTCCGTAAAACCTCTCAAGATAATTGCGAATTATCCTTGTGGAATCTTTCGGATGATTTGTTGTCCATGTATCGGAAGAGTGGCATCTGGAAAGAAACAAAGCAAGAAGCCTGTCCTTCTGAAGTTGTCACCTCTTGGTATAAAAGAACAGAAAGTTATGGACTAGCAAGCAAATAGCTGTTACTGTGGTAAGAGTAGTGAAAGTGAAGGTAAACGTAAATAGGTGGCCGTTATTACATTTTAAAGTCACAGAACATATCTAGAAGTCTTTAATATTCTAGTACAGACGTGTAAATTAGAATATTGCATCAACAGCGGTAGAGTAGTCATGACCAGACCCAGATTTCCAGAAAATATCCATCGGTGGTTTGGTTAGATCCGACTTATCATACCAACCATCACTGATGGGGTTGCTGTATGATATATTTCGGTGAGTAGGAACTCACTGTTTCGCTAAGTAGTCATTCATGAAATATACAAAATATGAAATAGCAGATACGCAAACATAAGTGGTTTCATTGTAGTGCCGTGACAGTTATTGAGTTTTATTAGAATCATGGATCAATTTTTTTTCAAACCACCACAAAAGCCCTGGAAGTAATCGAAAGTCGTTTCATCCCACTGTTGAACAGTCCACATCAATGACAAGCCAGGATCTTCGGGCACGAACGCGAAAGTCTAACCTCTTAATCATTGAAGCAGCTAAAATTTAACCCCCATCAGTTCACGATATTGTGTACTCTCATCCATCGCGTTCGGCGAGAGAATGCCTCACACTCAAAGAGGCTGAACACTACCATTCGCTACATCTTATTAGAATTGAGAGAATTTATACGGGGATTCTTGTGTATTCTCGTTTGAAATGTGAAACAACAACAGTTCAGATGAAATTTAAGACTTTCCATACTGTATTTCAGACTCTAATTCGTCTAAATATTGATATAACGCAATCTTTATGGTGTTTACCGTTTTCGGTGTTATTATGGGATGAATACATTTATCTTCCGTTCAAAGTCTTTTTCGCGTGAAATATTTTTGTAGCGACTGAACTAACTAGTTATATAATTCTAATACTCTTCACCGTCTGCACCAATAGATACAAGTGCAAACCTCAAGACAAACATGGTTTTTATCTTAAATCCGAGTCTTGAAACTTTATCTTTGCAGATTGAGGAATGTCTAAACTGTTGGAAAGAAAAAAATATAATACACTTATTTCCCAGATTTGGATAGTATTCAAAATCAAAAGTAGTATAGTTTCTGAAAATAATCATATCATTGTAAATGAAGCTGAAGTTTCTCGACTATATTCACATGCAAAGGAGACCAAGACGGATTGAGCATTGAGCTTTCGCACAGTCTTATGACCTTCGAGACACATCCAATTTGTTGACCTTAAATCCATGGGATTGGAGTAAGAGTGTAATGAATTTGCAGTCTTTTTCTGACAATTCTTAGTCTCATTTGCATTGTTTCTAATTCTTTTTTTTATTGTCAGCTCATATAATGGCTTACCCTTGTTTTTTGTTCCAGTGTGTTTCATGTTGCTCTTCACTGTGCAATATAGAACGTGCCATTTAGCTAGACCCAAACTATCAAAATCTGAACGTAACACGAAGTTAGGATGGCAGTTAAGGCTGCATTAAACTGCTTGCGAGTTCTTTGCATACAAAGTCACGTTGTCCATGGATATGTTGGCAATAAAATTGCCGTTTTTCCCTTGCAAGTCAGTTTTTTATTGTTAATTTTTTTTGTTATATAGGTATTAGGAATAGAAGTTGACTATATTAATTCTGTACAATTTTCGAATCACACAGGTTCGTGTAATACTAGACATATTGTACATACAGGCTATGAGATTGTCAAGGGCCAAGTGTTGGATGCTGCGAGTATGAAAGATTTGTATCTTGGTTTGAAGGCAAATGGACTTAGCAAGTACACTCATGTCCTCACAGGTATCAGTTAGTATTATCTTAAATTTCTCGTATCCTGGCTTCTAGGTTATCTCGCGTCGCCAAGCTCTTTAGAAGCGGTCGCAGATATAGTGTCCGACCTTAAAAAAGAGAACTCAAATATTAAATATTGTAAGCATGCATAAGTTTTTTAAATTTACTCAATAGACTGTGATCCTGTTCTAGGTGATAATGGAAAACTTGTGAGTTTCTTTGTTGTTCATTCATTAACAAAACTTTTATATTGTACTTCGGTCAACATTTTCGAGAGTTCAAATTACTGATAACTACTGAAGTTAAAAAGCACAAAGTTATATCATACCTAGCTCACATTATAATCATTGTTAACTACCTGCCTACCTTCCGTTCATACCGTAGTTCTAAATTATACATTCAGTCTCATAAAATTTTAGTTAGGAGCTCAAATCAGTCTCAATCGAAAAGTTTATAGTCATACCATTCTGGTTATGTATGATATATCCATTCTAAATATCTTAAAAGTGACTAAATGTTTGTTTAACCCAAGTGAACTAACAACTCATGAGTATCAATAATAAAATGTATTGGACAATTAGTTGGGTATTATGAACGCTTAACAAGTTATTTTGTTTTGGCCAACAATCAACCTTAGAGTCCCGAATCCGTAAATCTATATGTTTATATTTATGTTAGTGACCAAATATGAGTTCATGTACTCCTCTTTAAGCCATGTTATCGTAATTAAGAGGCAGTGACATCTGACTGTCAAACATAGAAAATCTGAGTACTCAAGACAAACGGTCTCCTTGATGTTTACTCTGTTATATATTTAAAATAGCTTCCAAATCATTATATGACTAGCACTTTGATTACCTAAGCTACATATGTTACTAGATGTTCATTATTTGAAAAAAATGTCTATTTCTATTCACATTATTTTCCCAAACTATGTTTCGTACTGTTTTACTGACAATTTCAATAAGCCTTAACAAAAGCTAACCATCATTCAGTGCTCAGCTTTTAAAATCAACCTTCTTTTATAGTTTTTCATAAGGATACAAGACATTTAAAAAAGTAACTAACTTTACCAATATTATTTCGTTTGCTCCCATATACCTACCAATTCGTATCTGTATTCTTGTTCGTTCATTTTGTCAATTTGTTATAATGCTATTGTTAATTCTAAATAACTTGAAATGTTTCTCCTTCCTTCCTTAAATAACTTCATCATGTCAGTATGTTCCACCAGAACTTGTCCAGATATATCAAGAAAAAATACTCCCTCTCTCAGATGTCATTTTACCAAATCAATTTGAAGCAGAGTAAGATTTATTTCTTGTTATTTTTTTATTATTGACCTGTTTACTCTACATGTAATTTTTCCTCCTATTGACACCTTGTTTGATCCTAGTCTGCCTTAAGTTATGTATTTTGGTACATTTGTCTACTCATTTAAGTCATTACACTATACTAGAACTTAAAAATGGAATAATTAAGACAAATATGCGAGAGTAAGTAAAGTGATAATAGTACTAGTTGTAGTCGACGTTCGGAAACTCATCCTGTCTAGCTCTGAACATGACGAAGAACGAAGTCAACTTAAGCGCATGCTGATAAAAAGTCTACGCAATGATCACGAACAATGGTGGGTAGCGAAGGCTAGAGCGATGAAAAAGGCAGTGATGACAGGTAACAATAGACAACTGTTCTGCCTTATCAAGGAGACTGGTATTAGTAATCCACTTGTTAGCGAAACTGTCTCGGGAAAAGATGTTTGTAACATTCATTCTCAACCTAAGAGATTGGATCGATGGGCAGAACACTACAGGGATCTATTCAACTGGCCTTTAGCCACACATCGGTTGCCCACGATTTCCAGTCATTGTGAATAGAAAATCAATGTAAGTCTTCCGACTCTTTATGAAACTGAAAAAGCTATAGAAAATCTGAACCCAGGAAGAATAGCGGGTCCTGATAGGCTTGCCCCTGAGATTTTTAAGGATCGTTGTCCAGTTCTAACAGTAAGATTGACTGAGATCGTAGGCAGTATTTGGAAACTGGGCGTAATTCGATCTGACTGTTCTCTATGATTGATTGTCTCAATTTATAAAAAAGGACAAAAGTTTTCTCGTGACAATCACAGAGAAATAAGTCTAACTAATATAGTTTCTAAATTGTTAGCCTCGATAATACTTAGACGCCCGACTATAGCTCATGAAAAGCAGACTAGAGAAAACCAGGCTGGTTTCAGACCCGGATGTGGCTGTATAGACCACATTTTCACACTACGGCAGGTTATAGAACACCGACACACATTAAGGTGTCCGACCAAAGTCGTATTCCTGGACCTTAAATCGGTTCTTGACTCTGTCGATTGTGAGGTTCTGTGGCAGTGTCTGTCATTAAAAGATGTACCAAAGAAGTACATTATCCTTATACAAGCTCTCTACTCGAACACTACTGGTCGAGTGAGAGCTTATGGCGAACTGTCATTGTAATTCTTTACTTCAAGTGGTGTCCGTCAGGGATGTCCACTCTCTCCATTCTTGTTTAATTTTGTCGTAGACATACTCCTAGATATAACATTATATTCGTTTGAATTTTCAGGAGTAGACCTTCTGCCAGGAGATTCACTGGCTGACTTAGAATATGCCAATGACATAGTTCTACTTGGTGAAGACGCTGACAAAATGCAGTCTTCTGACTACTGTAAGCAAAAATGCAATCATGTTCGGAATGCGATTCCCCCCTCGAAATGCGAAATTTTTCTTCAGGATTGGCTTGTATCGGCACTTGAACTAGTGATTGGGTGTGAGACAGCTGAGCATGTTGACTGCTTCACTTATCTTTGGAGTCTCATCAGTGCTGATTGCCTGGTGTGTGACGAAATCTCAGCATCCACTATTTGTGTTCTCTGAAATCCTAATTTTCTGAGTTCCTCATGACCTTCATCTTCGTCAGTCAGTCAGTTGCAACATAGAACTTCGTAGATATGTACATAAGTTCAGGTTGCCATACCACATTAGCACACAGACGCAAATGTCAAATCAAATCTCATTGTGATAGAGATAGTAGATGTATTAACGGTAATGAAGAAGACTAGAGTTTGAAGATATTATTCAAGAAGTATAATTCAGCGAGATAAGGTTAGAAAGACAAAGGTAGAGGTGCAGACAAATCCAGAAGATTAGGATTTGAGAGAACTCTAAGCGTGGATGTACCTGCGCCATTGCAAACGGTTTTGAGCCATGTCATTCAGGGTATCTAACTATCGATTATTATCATCTCGCGGACCCCAACCAGGTAGTCGACAACTACCGACATGGCTAAGTCCACTTGTCAATGACTTCATGGATTTCTGCCATGTTTTAGTCTTGCCGCCCTTAGGTTTCTTCCAACCTACTCCTAAACCACAAAACATAACTCGTCGAGGCAGTCAGTGGTTAGGCATCCGTAACACATGTCCCAACCATCTCAACTGATGAAGTTTCACCACTTCATCTATTGATCTGCCATCCTTACCTAGTACTCGTTTCCTAACGACAGCATTGCTTGCTCGGTTGTCCCACGGTATACAAGCAATGCTTCTTAAACATCTATGATCGAATACTAGTAACCTACGAACATCTTCTACTCTTAACGGCCATGTTTCACTACGTACTTACGAAGTACTACGTTTTTGCTGACTGACTGACTGGAACTTGTAACTTAGTCATTCAAAGTTAAACTCCCTTCTTCAAACAAACCACGCTGTCATATATTTTGTAATACCTATTTGTTTTTTTTCTGTTCACATATTTTAATCCTCCTTTTTTTCTTTTATTGTTACAGAATATTAAGTGGTATACAAATCACTGATGAAAAATCTGCTTTAAATTGTATTCATCATTTACATAAACAATATCACATTCCAACTGTAATTATTACAAGTACCAATAGTGTCTGTTCATCATCATCTATGATGTTGTATGGTTATGCAAGTCGTTTAATTAATCATCAAATGAAAAATGATCATGGCGCTGATAATATGATCAAACAAACAAATGGTTCAATTTTCAATAATAATTCAAGTAATTTACTATTGATTGATTGATTGATTTGAACACATAAATTTTGATGCAAAAGGGACACCTGAATGTTAATGTGACATACAAATGATAAAATTTGTCAGTGGGATGAAGTAATGCCTAAACCTAGTCGGTTACTCACTGAACATGTGATCCAAAAAGTCTAATCAATAAGACAGTGGGGCAATATCAGGAGATCTAATCCCATGGTGCGGTGTGTGCTACTTATACGAACGATATAAGTAGTATAAGAAGGGACGTGAAAGAAGAAGTCTCACGGTCAGAAGAGGAAAACGGAAGGCGAATAGAGCAAAAGCAAGAAGTAAATGGAGTACCAACAGGAGTGGAAGAAGGATGGAGCGTTGGAAGTCACGACTCAAAGATGGTGTGCAAATAGAGTGTTCAATGTAATGTTTTCGTTTTGTTGGGCTATTCCTCTTCCAATGCCCGGTTCCTCCGCAAATATAGCATTTATTATTTCTTTCACCCTTTATTCGTAACGCTGCCACCTCGCGTTGTAATTCTTCTATCTTCTTCACGACATCAGCCTGTCTTTCACACGCCACCGAGGCGACTGTTGAGTTCATCAGTTGTCTTGTTACTTTCGCCAGCTCGGTGACGTCCATTGGTTGTGCCGCGTTCACCAGTCTCAACTGTTGGCCGACCTCTGCAGGCACACTTTCAATGGATTGCGACGCTAGCAGCTGTGCTTGCGACTCCTCATCCGAATTCGGCAGACCCCGGCGCATCAATCTTGTCAACTCCACAGCCAGCACGAGTGGGTCGCCATCCACCGTCAGTCTTGCCTCTCGGAACTTCTGCAGCACGTCCTGCCTATCCACCGGGCTGTCGAACTCCACCAGCAGCCTTCCCGTCACCACCTTCCAGTCAGCGTCCTCCACACTATCGTACACCGCTCTCGCCCTGCCTCTTAATAGAGTCTCCAACACCACCGCCTTCGCCCTCTGCTCCTTGACTCCTACCAGCTCCGCCGCGGCCTCGAACTCCTTCAAGAAGCTCCTTACATCTCCGTCTTCAAACTCCCAAGGCCATGGTATCTTCATCTTGCGGAGAGGCAGCAACACCAATTGAGAAAACTGAGGCAGGCGCGGAAGATTGTATTACGCAAATTTACACTCTTAGTCAATTAAAAACGACAACATTACATTGAACACTACTCTATTTGCACACCATCTTTGAGTCTTGACTTCCAACGCTCCATCCTTCTTCATCCATTCCTGTTGTTGCTTCCTTCCCTTCCTGTTGGTACTCCATTTACTTCTTGCTTTTGCTCCGTTTGCTTTCCGTTTTCCTCTTCTGACCGTGACACTTCTTCTTTCACGTCCCTTCTTATACTACTTATATCGTTCGTATAAGTAGCACACACCACAATGGTAGCCGGTGACCAACAGTAGATCCACACACCATTTGTTTATTTATGATCCTGAAGCGTAGTATGTGCACCGTTGGTTTAGTTTTCTGATCCCCCGCTGTTCAATCCTTCATACTTTCTTAGATGACACTGCTGTCACTTGAAGGCAGTAGAAATTCCCTGATAGATGACAATAGATTCTCGAGCATATGAAAGCAATGGCGCAAGTGCATCCACTCTTTATGTTCGCCCAAATTCTAATCTTCTGAATTACTCATTACCTTTAGCTTTATCTTTTTAGATTATTTTTTTCACTGAATTATACTTCTTGAATGATATCTTCGAACTCTAATCTTTCCGATTACTGCTTATACATTTCTATTACCTCTACTACTATGGGATTTGAATTGACAATGCGATCTATGTATGCTAATATGGTATGGTAACTGTTAGTTATTTCCATAACTAATTGTAGTTACGTCATAACTAATCAATCAAATTATGGTTTAAGCGCCCACCACATGCATGATCTGATCTAACGTGTCTGTAAACTTTCTTTGTTGTAAATGACCTACAAATTAATTGACATTATTATCTTATATTGCGTTTATAGTTCTAGAAGTTCATCTGTAGGATAAATTAAATCCTACAGTAACTTCAACTGATGTACATACGTACGTACAAAATCCTATGTTTTAGCAGCTGACCGACATAAAGTTGCAAACTATAGCAAAAATTAGGTAAAACTAACTTTCCAATTATATGATTTTGAAATTTTGAGATGATGGAGAAAATTTGTAACTCAGATGGATGATTGTGGTGGTGTTTCGTTCTCTAAGCTGGATGTTTATGGTTGTGGAGCTTTCATCATTGTTCTTCTACTGAACAACATCATCATCAGCACAAATTTCAGATAGAAATGAATGACAAAGTGACAAAAGAAGAAACACCAAGCATCATCTACACAATAAATTGCTCAGATTGTGAAAAACACTATATAGGACAAAGTGGACAGCCTCTTCCGTTTTGTTTACGTGAAAATCAATTAGCAGTCAAACGCCATGACAATTCTTCGCTTATATCAATACACACCGATAATTGTGGGCATGCATTCGATTGAAACAATGTGGAAATACTGGATAGGGGAAGGAACTAAAAGAACACTAGAGAATTTTTAGAAGCTTGGCACTCAGGTCAATCAGCAATCAACAAACACATCGAAATTGATCTAATTTATCAACCAATCAAGAAAATCATAGGCGAACATAGCGACGTAGCATCAAGAAACAGATCAAAAGGGAGATACAATCAAACACAAAGCTGCAAACAACGACATGTTTCAGGTCAACAGAAACCAATCATGATTGAGGTTAGCAGAACAAGCTACAGGTCAAACGTAGAGAAATTCAAATACTTCACTTCTGCTATCTGAAGTTTGTGCTGACCATGATGTTCAGAAGAAGAACAATGATGAAAGCTTCACAACCAAAACATCCCCAGTTCAGAGAACAAAACAACCACCATGATTTTGAAATTGTCATAAAAAAAGAAGTATAACTAACTTACTCATTTGTTTATCTATGTGCCAATATTTTGAAGACAAGAAAAAAACAGGAATATTTTTTTTGTGTTTATTAAACTTTTCCTTGTTTTTTACAGATTACGAACGTGTACGTTTTAAAATACCACACTTTAATTATCATTTCATTGGAACTGGTGATTTATTCGCTGCTTTAACATTGGCTCATTTAGAAGCAAAAATTGACCAGGAAAATAATCAACAAATTGCGAAATATTCATTTAAAGTAAATATAACAGTCACACACACATTTATACTTAAAAAATTTTTATTTAGATGTATATATATTTTTCTTACTTCCTGTATACATTAAATGTGATACACTAGGAATCGCTCGATCGTAGCTTGAGGTGGTTGGGACATGTGCTGTGTATGCCTAACCACCGACTGCCTCGACGAGCTTTGTTTTGTAATGTAGGAATAGGTTGAAAGAAGAAAGTTAGGGGCGGCCAAACCAACGTAGAACTTCGTACGTATGTACATAAGTTCATGTTGCTATACCACATTAGCACAGAGACGCAAATGTCAAATCAAATCCTATAGTGATGAAGATAGTAGAGGTATTAATGGTAGGTAATGAAGAAGACTAGGGTTTGAAGATATTATTCACGAAGTATAATTCAGTAAGATAAGTTTAGAAAGACAAAGGTAGAGGTGCTGACGATTCCAGAAGATTAGGATTTGAGAGAGCACAACGAATGGATGCACTTGCGCTATTGCAAACGATTTTGAGCCATGTCATTCAGGGTCTTTCGTCTCGTGGACCCCCACCAGGTATTCTACATCTACCAACATGACTCAGTCCACTTGTCAGTGACTTCATGGATTTCTGCCATGTTTTGGTCTGGCCGCTCCTAGCTTTCTTCCAACCTACTCCTACACCACAAAACATAGCTCGTCGCAGAAGTCGGTGGTTAGCCATACGTAACACATGTCCCAACAATCGCAACTGGTGAAGTTTCAATGCTTCATCTGTTGGTCTTCAATTCCTACCTAGTACCCGTTTCCTAACAACAGCATTGTTTACTCGATTGTCCCAAGATATACGAGCAATGCTTCGATGACACCGATAATCGAATACTAGTAACCTGCGAATATCCTTTAGTCGTACTGACCATGTTTCTCAGCCATAAATTAGGACGGAACGAACTACCTCGCAGAAGACCCTTCCTTTGGTTGGTAGACTGATATCTCGTCTACGCCATAAATGATACAAGTCGAAAAAAGTCAGTCAAGCCCTCTGTATCCGTTTTGAGACTTGGTCACACACCAGGCCATCAACACTAATGAAACTCCTGAGATACATGAAGCGGTCAACACGCTCAACTGCCTCACTCTCTATCACTAGTTCAGGTGCCGACGCAAGACAATCTTGAAGCGAGATTCGGGGAGAATCTCATTCCGAAAACGCATGCACTGCTGCTTTTAATGGTCAGAAAACCCTGCACTTTTCAGTGTCTTCACCGCATAGAACTATGTCGACAAGTGAATCCCGTGGTAATAGTTCAATAAGAATTAAAAGAATAGACAACTTTGACGAACTTCACTTGAAGTAATCAGTTCCGATGACAGTAAACTGAGTCCGAAATCCCCGATGATTGATATAGTCGGAACATATACTGCATATCTTTACGATCAACGTACCACTACGCTAAATGACATAAAACTCGAGTAGTTAGTGGCTATTTATGGTCATGTAAAAAGACATGGAGTCAATCATCCTATCATTATCATTTACCTGTGATGGTTTTATCCCCTTATTCATAGAATTATGACTTCATTATTATTTTTCGCCTTGTTTTATCTTCTCTTAAGTTAATACACTTTATTTTTTTGTAATTATAGGATGCCTTCCAATCGATTCTTAGTACAATGCAAGCTGTTCTGTCAAGAACAATACAATTATCTGAAAAAGGTTAGTTAGTTAGTTGGTTAGTTAGTTAGTTAGTTAGTTAGTTAGTTAGTTAGTTAGTTAGTTAGTTAGTTAGTTAGTTAGTTAGTTAGTTAGTTAGTTAGTTAGTTAGTTAGTTAGTTAGTTAGTTAGTTAGTTAGTTAGTTAGTTAGTTAGTTAGTTAGTTAGTTAGTTAGTTAGTTAGTTAGTTAGTTAGTTAGTTAGTTAGTTAGTTAGTTAGTTAGTTAGTTAGTTAGTTAGTTAGTTAGTTAGTTAGTTAGTTAGTTAGTTAGTTAGTTAGTTAGTTAGTTAGTTAGTTAGTTAGTTAGTTAGTTAGTTAGTTAGTTAGTTAGTTAGTTAGTTAGTTAGTTAGTTAGTTAGTTAGTTAGTTAGTTAGTTAGTTAGTTAGTTAGTTAGTTAGTTAGTTAGTTAGTTAGTTAGTTAGTTAGTTAGTTAGTTAGTTAGTTAGTTAGTTAGTTAGTTAGTTAGTTAGTTAGTTAGTTAGTTAGTTAGTTAGTTAGTTAGTTAGTTAGTTAGTTAGTTAGTTAGTTAGTTAGTTAGTTAGTTAGTTAGTTAGTTAGTTAGTTAGTTAGTTAGTTAGTTAGTTAGTTAGTTAGTTAGTTAGTTAGTTAGTTAGTTAGTTAGTTAGTTAGTTAGTTAGTTAGTTAGTTAGTTAGTTAGTTAGTTAGTTAGTTAGTTAGTTAGTTAGTTAGTTAGTTAGTTAGTTAGTTAGTTAGTTAGTTAGTTAGTTAGTTAGTTAGTTAGTTAGTTAGTTAGTTAGTTAGTTAGTTAGTTAGTTAGTTAGTTAGTTTAGTTAGTTAGTTAGTTAGTTAGTTAGTTAGTTAGTTAGTTAGTTAGTTAGTTAGTTAGTTAGTTAGTTAGTTAGTTAGTTAGTTAGTTAGTTAGTTAGTTAGTTAGTTAGTTAGTTAGTTAGTTAGTTAGTTAGTTAGTTAGTTAGTTAGTTAGTTAGTTAGTTAGTTAGTTAGTTAGTTAGTTAGTTAGTTAGTTAGTTAGTTAGTTAGTTAGTTAGTTAGTTAGTTAGTTAGTTAGTTAGTTAGTTAGTTAGTTAGTTAGTTAGTTAGTTAGTTAGTTAGTTAGTTAGTTAGTTAGTTAGTTAGTTAGTTAGTTAGTTAGTTAGTTAGTTAGTTAGTTAGTTAGTTAGTTAGTTAGTTAGTTAGTTAGTTAGTTAGTTAGTTAGTTAGTTAGTTAGTTAGTTAGTTAGTTAGTTAGTTAGTTAGTTAGTTAGTTAGTTAGTTAGTTAGTTAGTTAGTTAGTTAGTTAGTTAGTTAGTTAGTTAGTTAGTTAGTTAGTTAGTTAGTTAGTTAGTTAGTTAGTTAGTTAGTTAGTTAGTTAGTTAGTTAGTTAGTTAGTTAGTTAGTTAGTTAGTTAGTTAGTTAGTTAGTTAGTTAGTTAGTTAGTTAGTTAGTTAGTTAGTTAGTTAGTTAGTTAGTTAGTTAGTTAGTTAGTTAGTTAGTTAGTTAGTTAGTTAGTTAGTTAGTTAGTTAGTTAGTTAGTTAGTTAGTTAGTTAGTTAGTTAGTTAGTTAGTTAGTTAGTTAGTTAGTTAGTTAGTTAGTTAGTTAGTTAGTTAGTTAGTTAGTTAGTTAGTTAGTTAGTTAGTTAGTTAGTTAGTTAGTTAGTTAGTTAGTTAGTTAGTTAGTTAGTTAGTTAGTTAGTTAGTTAGTTAGTTAGTTAGTTAGTTAGTTAGTTAGTTAGTTAGTTAGTTAGTTAGTTAGTTAGTTAGTTAGTTAGTTAGTTAGTTAGTTAGTTAGTTAGTTAGTTAGTTAGTTAGTTAGTTAGTTAGTTAGTTAGTTAGTTAGTTAGTTAGTTAGTTAGTTAGTTAGTTAGTTAGTTAGTTAGTTAGTTAGTTAGTTAGTTAGTTAGTTAGTTAGTTAGTTAGTTAGTTAGTTAGTTAGTTAGTTAGTTAGTTAGTTAGTTAGTTAGTTAGTTAGTTAGTTAGTTAGTTAGTTAGTTAGTTAGTTAGTTAGTTAGTTAGTTAGTTAGTTAGTTAGTTAGTTAGTTAGTTAGTTAGTTAGTTAGTTAGTTAGTTAGTTAGTTAGTTAGTTAGTTAGTTAGTTAGTTAGTTAGTTAGTTAGTTAGTTAGTTAGTTAGTTAGTTAGTTAGTTAGTTAGTTAGTTAGTTAGTTAGTTAGTTAGTTAGTTAGTTAGTTAGTTAGTTAGTTAGTTAGTTAGTTAGTTAGTTAGTTAGTTAGTTAGTTAGTTAGTTAGTTAGTTAGTTAGTTAGTTAGTTAGTTAGTTAGTTAGTTAGTTAGTTAGTTAGTTAGTTAGTTAGTTAGTTAGTTAGTTAGTTAGTTAGTTAGTTAGTTAGTTAGTTAGTTAGTTAGTTAGTTAGTTAGTTAGTTAGTTAGTTAGTTAGTTAGTTAGTTAGTTAGTTAGTTAGTTAGTTAGTTAGTTAGTTAGTTAGTTAGTTAGTTAGTTAGTTAGTTAGTTAGTTAGTTAGTTAGTTAGTTAGTTAGTTAGTTAGTTAGTAGTTAGTTAGTTAGTTAGTTAGTTAGTTAGTTAGTTAGTTAGTTAGTTAGTTAGTTAGTTAGTTAGTTAGTTAGTTAGTTAGTTAGTTAGTTAGTTAGTTAGTTAGTTAGTTAGTTAGTTAGTTAGTTAGTTAGTTAGTTAGTTAGTTAGTTAGTTAGTTAGTTAGTTAGTTAGTTAGTTAGTTAGTTAGTTACTCCAATTATCCCTCATGGAGCAGAAGCCATCAGCCAGGATTTTCCAATCAACTTTGCCGTTGATTCTCTTTTCCAGATGTTGCCACATGCTGTTCACTGTTTTCATGTCTGTTTCCAATCCTCGGTTTAATATGTTCCCTGGTCTTCCTGTTTTCCTTTGGCTTGTCTGGTGATGATGTTGTTGGATGATTTCCTTAATGCGTATTCTATCCACCTGCAACGCTTCATTGTAATGTCATCCTCATTTGGAATCTGGTCTACAAGGGGTTGTTACTGTCTGGTCAATGGATCCTGAGTATCTTGCTCAAACAGTTGCTTTTATAAATGCTTGTATCTTTTGAATGGTGAATCACGTGTTATGACTTTGGTGTTAATTGACAGTTGTTTTGAGTTGCAGATATTCTTCAATTACAGAAATACTACCCGTACTCTGCTAATCCTATGTGTTCATATCTGCATCAGATTCACCTTGCTTATCAATGATGCTACCCAGATAAATAGAGGTTTCCATATCTTCCATAACTTCTCCGTCAAATGTGATTTGGTTGATATTCGCTCGGTTGTATCTCAAAGGGTATTACTTCTTGTTTGACATATGTACTTACGCACAAAGTTCTATGTTATAGCTGACTGACTGACTGATAATATCATAATTTAATATGATAGGGGTGGCCAGACCAAAACATGGCACAAATCCGTAAAGTCACTGACAAATTGACTGAGTCATGTTGGTAGATATAGGCTACCTGGTTGGGATCCGCGAGACGAAAGTTACCAATGGTTAGAGACCTTGAACGACATGGCTCAAAATCGTTTACAATGGCGCAGGTGCATCCACTCTTTGTGTTCTCTCAAATTGTAACCTTCTGAACTCCTCAATATCTCTATCTCACTGAATTATACCCTAATCTTCTCCATTACTGCTAATACTTCTACTATCGCTACCACTATTGGATTTGAACTGACAGTTGCGTCTCTGTGCTAATGTGTGGCATGGCAACTTGAACTGATGTACATATGTAAGAAGTTCGGTGTTGTATCTGTCTGTCTGTCTAGCATGCTAAACTAACCCAACTGCATCACAAGACAAGCCCTTACTTGGAACCCTCAAGTTATAAAGGAAAAGAGGAAGGCCGAGAAATGGAGACAGACATGAGAAGAATGAACAACCATTGGAAAGAACCGGAAAGGGAAGCCCAGTATGGCAGAGTAGGTTGAAGAACACCGCTGATTGTCTGCCTCTGCTCCATGGGGGGTGACAGGCGTAAGTAAGTAAACTAACTAATCTTAATGATATATCATGAACTTTCGGTATTGTGCGCGAACGCCTAACCTCTGGACCACTGAGCCGGTATCTAACAGTGTTAATGTCTAACTTGATCAAATTCACGGAGTTGCGCAACCTCATACACGCACAATACCGAAGGTCCTGGGTTCGAATCCTGCGAGGAGCAGGAGTCGTGGATGCGCACTGCTGAGGAGTCCCATACTAGGACGAAACGGCCGTCCAGTGCTTCCAGGTTTCTAATGGTGGTCTAACATTGATCGATTCATGGTTTCGAAAAATGTGTAACTTAACAATCTTCACAACAACCCCGTAATATCATAAACTGTTTGTTTTGTTTCAATTTCAGAATCAACAAGTATGCCTAAAGCTGCACGAATCGAACTGAAAATCATACAAAGTCTCGATGCAATTCTTAACCCACCATTAGGTGATGACTATGTGGAGAAAATGTGATGAACACCTACACACACACACACATACTTTGTGTGAGAGCGCGAGAATGTATACTTTCTTCCGCCTATCTATCCACCTACTTACCTACCCACCTATGTATGTCATGTATGTATGCGTGATTTCTAGTCAGTTTTCCTCTTATCCTATCTATGTGTAAGTATTTCTTTCATCGTTACTTTTAATACTACTTAAATTAGGGAGGAAGAAATGCCGATTATGTCATTGAGATGTTTTTTCTGTCGATAATTATGGGATTACATGATTTTTTTCTCACTTTTCATAAAATCTATGTGATGCTTATCAATGAACTATTCACTGAATTTATTAAAAATAATTTGTTTTCATTTTGATTGTATAATTTTTCGAAATATGAAGCAACTGCATATTAACCGCCCCAGTAGCTGTGTATTTCGTCCCAGCTTGAGGCTCTCTGCACTTTTTGACTGAGAATTCGCCTTGCCACTTGAAATGCGTGTAATAGCCATTGTCACAGCACTCCTATTCATTGTCTTCTCATGGCAGAGATGTTATTTACGAAATTAAGGAGAGAGAGAAAAAGCGCGAATCCAATGCTTTAACTGAGTGAGTGGGTATAAAGGATTCACCTAGAGGAGTTGGAAATCAATAACGCACATGAGCTCTACAATTCTGAGAGGAAAAATAATGTATCGATCTAATGTCGGTCTCTGGCTACCATCAGACAGCATCTCCTGACGTTGTAATAATTTGTGAATTAGACTTTTATGTTAAGGGTTAGGGCTGTTGTCCCGTAAGAAAATCACCTGCTCTGGTTTAGGATTTGATTTTGACCAATTTGGTCTTGTGTGCTGTTACGGGTATGAGGGCGGTTGTCACTTCCCGGCTGCCCACACCGTCGAAGGTTGTTTCTTGAGGAACCTGAAAAGGAAGGTAGATTAGCGTTGGTCTTAGAGACCTGGGTGCGTGACCGCAGAGCCCAGGTGACAACTGCTTGAGGCCGGTCACGCACGGCCTTTTTATGGAAGGTCTTTCGAGTGTTAGCTCCGCTCTTGAAAGCCCTTAGTGGGCACCCTTACTGCCGGAGACGGAAATCCGTGAGTTAGGGTGAGGTGTGACATTTTTAGGGTCGACATTTTCTAACCGTTCCTTCCTTGTGATGAGAAGGCAGCATCGCTGCAGATGCTAGTTGTCCGAGGGAAACACCTTACTGCTGTCATACACCTCCATCACAGTCAGCAGTACGACTTCGTCCTCAGACCTTGAGTAGCTGCTTTTAGTTTCATCGTTCTCCAATCGACCTGCCTGGCATGGTAGAACCTTCAGGAACATAAGTCCCAGCCAATATAGCTCGGTTGGGTCATGAAGATAGGCAAGCCCGACCACCGCGTCAAGGCAGCAGCTTCGGTCGGGTCCGGTTTAGGCATCCGGGCATTATCCCGTCCCACTCATAGATCTTACACAAATAAATACAACTGGAATCGAATAAAATAAAAACACCATCTCAGATGAAAGTAATCAATCCGATATTGATTTTTTCACGTAACTCTACAACCAGATAAAGAGAAGACTCTTCTTCAATATACGTCCTACATTCTGAGTAAATATTAATTAGGAAGATTGTCCATTTGAATAACAGATAGTCAAAAATTGATTTACACGCTTAAGATAACGGCGGCTGGTTAGTATATTCACACAAGAAATTGTATCAGATCGGCGTTTATGTATTCTCTAGTCGATGTCATACTGTCAAAAAAGAGAATTCAACTCCGCCTGTAAACCCTCCGGGGCTACTGCCGGTCCCAAGCCCGGATAAAGGAGGAGGGTTGAGATTGGGGATTGGCGACCCCGTCCCGGAAAAAACTAACTTGCCGAAAAAAACGCTAACATGTAAACTTTTAAAAGTAACCCATTGTTAAGTCTACTACAGTATACAACCTTTGACGTAAGAACGGAGTAGAACCACCCCCACCCAGATCGCAAATCAAAAGCTCGAAGAAATGTTTTTTCCCGTAAGTGTTGAAATGTACAAGGAAACTGTATGTATCGTATGCACTTAAAACATCGTAATCGTCTGATCTGAAAACAGCGATGTTACACAATGTGTCTAGTCACCGTATGCCACGTCGATATTTTAAAGATCCTATTGGGCTGTGATTGGTTGGAATCCCTGGAGGTTTTTGACAACCATCTCAACACTTTTATCCCTTTAGACATCACTTACAAAACTATGAAAAGCTAATGAACAGTGGATATTTGATTCGTCTTACTGTGTAGGACCCTCCGAGATTATGCACTTATGTGCGCACCCGTATCACGAGGTCGAATTAAAAACTGTCAGATTTCTTGAAGATCAATAAATCACAGTTGAAATACTGTTTCGTGTAACTTCAGTTAATTCGGTGTATTCCTCGATCTACATTCATCATGATCGATAGATTTTTAACTCATTCGCAACATTCATCAACTGTGAATCTCAAACTCGAGTTTCATGTATTTACTGGTCAGTAAATATCAGAATACCTATCTGTTACGAACGCAACTCACCACGTCAGCTGATATGCTTGAACTTTTACAAGTTCACCTTAGTTGTTGAATGAGAGCGAGGATCAATGATCCAGCAACACGACAGGCTACTCTAATCCGAACGTCCCAAACCCCTATTGAGTAGAAGAAGTTTTGATACGAAGCAGAAAGTGTATTCTACAAGCAGACAGAAAATATGAGTTTTTGTACCGAGGAAGATAAGAACCCCGGATCATAAAACATGACAGACAATGTATATTTATACAGTTAGGTCGAATGGGAAATAACGATTGAAGTACGCGACAGTGATAGTTAGGACGACCAATCGGATTAGACTTACAAAATAATTCTCTCTTAGGATATCTGATGAATATCCTAACACTATCTATATTAGGTTTTTGGAAAACAGTGAGGTATCGCACATTAAAATGTACGTCAAAAGAACTATTTTACAATAAGCTACAAACATTGAAAAGAATTCAACCCTCAATCCCACTTGTTCAACTAAGCTAATACCATCACAGGAAAGACGTAAACAGCTGTAACTAAAATGCCTCCAGAAAGATGGTCAGTGATATTATACACAGTATTGATCACTCTGTACATTGTTACGTGTTGAATTCTGGTTACAACATGTGACACCTTTAAGTCTATATATTGTCGTATTGCTTGACTTGAGTGTTGAACTAGGTCTGGTAACCTATTTGATCTGGTGTGCTTTTACATGTATGAGGGTGGTTGTTATATAACGCTAGCTGATCTAAATTTACTTAGTTTAGATTGGTTCGACCAGCTAAAATTGGCTGATATCCCGTTAAATACCATATGCCACCTGGTCTCACGACCACATGACCCCGAAACATATACGAAGAATCTAATAACGCAGTTTTAAACCACCTTCCAACCTGGATTAGGTCGGTGTACTGCCATGAAAGTAACCTGGGGCTAAGCCTGCTTTCCGTCCAAAGAGACCTGTACCTTATGTAACATTAACAACAGTAGATGAGGAATTGAATCGCCTTCGACGACAAGGAGTCATTACTCCCGTTTCTTAATCTGCTTGGGCAGCACCTATAGTCGTTATCAAGAAGGCCAACGACACGATACGTATATGTGCTGACTTTTCTACAAGTCTCAACGCAGCTCTAGAACAGCATCATTATCCTATGCAAGTTCCGGCAGATCTGTGTAATGTGGTATTGCAACATGAACTGATTTACTTAAGTACGAAGTTCTACGTTGTAACTGACTGACTAAGGTCTGGCTACGATAAGCTTGCTTATTATTTCAATACTCCTAATCGGACTTTTCATAAATAATTAGTTCGGATGCAATACGAACTCTCTTCAGAACAAGAAAGCCAGCTCCCACTAAATTCTGTTCATGAATACATATATGTAATAAATTTCGTCAAGAGATATTTCAGACATTGTACTTAGTAGAAAAGTAATTTATGCAGAAAAATTTAAAATCCCTCAATTGTTATTAGGAAACAGAACTAATTCGATCAGTTCTTGATTTTCTCAGTAAAGGTGAATTGATTAAACTAAACTAGTGCCTCGTGTACGACAATTTTTCAGATTTTCGCGTAACTGTCGACAACGTGAATCAGTCTAAAGTAATCATTATCATTGGTGATTATATCTTCTAATGACTTTGTTCCAAGTTCTTTATTCTATTAGCCACATTGTTTTCAGCTCTACACACTGACAAACGTTTGGAGTGTGTACTAACACGCTTAATTCACAGAGCTTGTCTCAACCTTAGTCTATTACTCTAAAGTTATTCACACGTATTTCAACGTTGTCAATTATTGGCTCGTAACTTTGGTTGTTTTGATCTGAGTGTGTGCATATTTACTTCGCTTATTACTTGTCTAGCCCATTCCTCTCTGATTACAATTATTTAGTCATTCCTCATCACATTGAGTTGTTGCCTACTCGCCTTCTTCACTTTACTTCCCTTTGCCGTTACGCTTCATTTTCTCATGTGTCTACCTGAACGGTTGCGTGAAATAAACTCATCCAACTTAATCTGTATTTAGCTTCTTATAATTGCCATCGTACGAACAAGGTTCGCCTAAGTATGACTATACGGAAATCAAATGAAAGATTTATTCCACAGCGTATCTAATTGTCAGATTGCTGACTACCAAAGTAATGAGCCCTACTTCGACAGACAGACATACAACACAGAACTTTGTACGTATGTGCATTAGCACAGAGACGCAACTGTCCATTCAAAAATCACATAGTGGTAGCGATAGTAGAAGTATTAGCAGTAATGCAGAAGATTAGTTAGTTAGTTGCAACGTAGAACTTCGTACGTGTGTACATAGGTTCATGTTGCCATACCACACATGAGCACAGAGACGCAAATGTCACATCAAATCCCATGGTGATAAAGATAGTAGAGATATTAATGGTACTGAAGAAGACTAGGGTTCGAAGATATTATTCAAGAAGTATAATTCAGTAAGATTAGGTTGGAAAGACAAAGGTAGAGGTGCTGACGAATCCAGAAGATTAGGATTTGAGAGAGCTCAACGAATGGATGCACTTGCGCTATTGCAAACGATTTTGAGCCATGTCGTTCAAGATCTCTAACCATTGGTTACTTTCGTCTCGCGGACCCCACGATATACGAGCAATGCTTCTTAAACATTTATGATCGAATACTAGTAACCTACGAATGTCCTCTACTCTTAACGGCCATGTTTAACAGCCATATAGGAGAACGGAGCGAACTGCTGCGCAGTACACCCGTCCTTTGGTCAGCGAACGGATATCTCGCCTACGCCATAAGTGACGCAGGTTGGCAAAAGTAAATCGAGCTTTCTGCATACGTGCTGAGATTTCGTCAGTCACCAGGCTATCAGCGCTGATGAGACTCCCCAGATAAGTGAAGCGATCAACACGCTCGACTACTTTACTCCCTATCACTAGTTCATGTGCCGATAAAACCCAATCTTGAAACAACATTTTGCATTTCGAGGGTGAGAACCGCATCCCGAACATGCTTGCATTGTTGCTTATGGTAGTCAGAAGACTCTGCATTTTAATGCAGAAGATTAGGGTATAATTCAATGAGATAAAGTTAGAAAGAGAAAGATGAAGATAATGAGGAATTTAGAAGGTTAGAATTCGAGAGAACACAAAGAGTGGATGTGTGGTGTGTGCTACTTATACGAACGATATAAGTAGTAGTATAAGAAGGGACGTGAAAGAAGAAGAAGTCTCACGGTCAGTAGAGGAAAACGGAAAGCAAATGGAGCAAAAGCAACAAGTAAATGGAGTACCAACAGGAATTAAACGAAGCAACAACAGGAATGGAAGAACGATGAAGCTTTGGAAGTCACGACTCAAAGATGGTGTGCAAATAGAGTAGTGTTCAATGTAATGTTGTCGATTTTAATTGACTAAGAGTGTAAATTCTGCAAATCTGTAAATCATTCTGCATTTTTCATTGGTCCAAAACAATTTCACAAACTACTACTACTATTGAATATTGAACAGTTTTTTCGAAAATGATCAATTCAAACAAATAAAAACTTATTCAATGTTCAGAGCTCCATTCCTGTCAACTTATTGACAATCTATCTAATCACAAATTCAAACTAACAAGAATAAGACAAGTATTTTTTTAAAATCTGGAATAATGTGTTGAATTTCTACAAACATGATTATTTTTTTTTTATAACGCGCCACAAACAATGATCATACTTGGTGCATTGGCATAGGTTCAGTTTTACATTTCAAGTTTTTTATACACCGGAAACAAAAAAAATGAAACAATATTCTTGTATGGTCGGCGGCTTCGTTTGTTTGTTTGTTCATGATTGATTATGATTCATTCAATCAATCAATGTTCAATGTTTTCAATTGGTCAATGATCAATGTTGTTGTTGTTTTGTTCAACTATAAATGATCACATAAAAGAAACAAGCCAATATGCAATTGACTAATATAAATGCTAATATAGACAAATGAACACGGCACCAATCCTATAAGAAAAGGTAAAGAGAAAAAAAATATGAGAAATGAAATTTTATATTCAATTTTATTTGTTTAAATTAACTAGTTAGTAGTGTGGTGCTGTGGTGCGCGCTACTTATAAGTAGTAGTATATGACTTGAGTGTCAACTTAATGTATGGCAGCAGAAGACGATGGGCGGGGGGAAGATCAAGCAACGAAGAAGAGTTGGGGGGGTATACAATGGAATTTATTTGTATGAAATGCATGAATAGTGAGTGAAATGTTCCAGACAATGGATTGATGATTTTCATGATGATGAAGATTTGAAAATCAACCGTTTACGATATGGTTTTCCAATTTTACTGAGTAACTGCGCAATTTTTGCAAAATACGATATCTTTCGCGTCACCTGTGTTATCCTTCACTACATTTGCAGTAATAGTTACACATACCTAAAAATTTAAAAATTCTAAAATATACATTAAAATGATTCTGATTTAAACGACCAACATTTACAAACGAAAAAAAATTGGGTGGCCTTGACAAACTGTAATAGTAGTGCAGTAAGCTGGGCTGCCTCTTCTATTATCCTACGCCATATATGTT